GGTGGTCCTCATGTTGCCCCTGGGTGAGAGGATTGTTTTGCCCAGATTGCACAAGCTTGTTGTTGTATCTATTCCCCTAGCTGCAGCTGAAAAGAAATCAAAAGACACCTTCCTATTGTCAAAGAAAGGGAACAGAGCTTTACCCAACTAAAGAAGGCAGAGCCAAGAGAGCAGATGTAGGGTTCTGCAAATGCTAATTGATCTCTCCTGGACATACCAACAAGAGACCTTCATTTTATTTTCAATAAAGAGATATCACCCAGTCAGAGTTCTGGGAAATCCTGAGTTCTTTATACCACCCCAGGGTACATGAAACAGGATGAAAGGAAGAAGGAACTGGGCATCAGAGCTCTCTGGCTCAATGCTGCTTTGCTAACCAGGCCTGCCACTCCGGGGCTGGCACTTCCCTGTCGTGGGCCTCATTTCTATTCTGTCACATGAGACTACTGAACTAGCTCCAGGGTCCCCAGACCTTCAGACCCCAATGGCAGCAGGGATATTCTGGGCATAATGGGCATTTCCTTCTGTGGCAAAATAACGATCTATCCCCCCACCCCAACACATATAAGTTCAGTATCTACAATTGGTGTGGGAGGTCCTTCTGTCTATGTGTTGCTTTTATTGGTTAATGAATAAAGAAACTGACTTGGCCTAAAGCATGGGAGGAGGAAGGCAGAGTTAGAGAGAAGTCATGGAGTCGCTGCCATAATCAGACATGCTGAAACTTTGCTGGTAAGCCATAGCCACATGGTGATACACAGATTAATAGAAATGGGTTAAATTAATATGTAAGAGTTAACAATAAAAAACTAGAGCTAATGAGCCAAGCAGTGATTTTATTAATACAGTTTCTGTGTGATTATTTTGGATCTAAGCTAGATGGGCAGCCAGGAACCAACAAGCAGCCTCCCACTACATTCAATGATCAGGTTTTCATTTTAAAGATTTTCTAGTTCTCCCCCTGCTCCCCCCAATCACAACCTCCATATAAATGTATTCATTTAATGGAAAACTAGTTTTACAAAATATTCAATGTCTTTCCTGTCCTTACCCCCTGCACACTTTTGAAAATGCCACTGGTCATCATTTGGGGTCTCAGGCACTGACTGTGCAGGGTCGTAGGGTCTCCTCCCTTCCAGGATTCAAAAATTCTCCAACAATGTGTATGGCACGCCCAGGGCCCCTATGCTTCCCAAAGGCTCTGAGGAACAAGGCTGGGGGAGGCCTGGCAGGAATGTTGTGGGAGTAACTTCCGCTGCCTCAACCAATAGTCGCTGAAATACGAGCCCACAGTGCAGCGGGGAGCGACTTCCGCTCCGTCAGCCAATAGCTGCTGAAATACCAGCCCACTGGGGCGTGGTATATTTCTCTTTTAAAAAGAGAAGCATATCCGGAATAGGCTCTCTTGGTTCCGGCTCTTGGTTCCGGTGCTTGCTCCTGGCTCCTGCTCCCGGCTCCTGCGACTAGGCTCCCTTCCTGACGGTTTATGGTGTATGTAAGTTTTACCCCCCAAAATAAATAACCCCTTAAAACATAACTGGTGTGGGATTGATTCGCCGATACAGGAAAGTCTAGTTTTGCCCTCCCCTGTCTTACCTCTCTGGGCGCCAGTCACCAAACTCCTTAGGTTCAGCTGTCATCTCCCCCAGATGTTGGCAGCAGCTACTTGTGCTAAGCATTACTTCTCCAAATGGCAGAAATGCTTTCACTGTTGTCTACTGCTCACCAGCATCGCACCCAACTCAGTCTGACATAAAGCTGACTCCCTTAGAGGGAAGGGTGGGAATTTACTCCCCTTAAAATCAAATCCTGGCCCTAATCCCCACGCCAGAAGCCAGTGTGGTATAATCATGCCCTGCACCCTGATGTATATGTCAAAGCCTTAAATCCCAATGAATTTACATTTAGAGGTGAGAGGTAATTTAAGGTTAGATGCCTTCATGAGGGTAGGGCCTTGTGATGGGATTAGTCAGTCTCCTTGTAGGGAGAGACATCAGAGAGCTTCCTCTATCTTGCCCCCTGTTCTCTTCCCTCTCCTGGCAACACACATGCACACACACACACACACACGTCCCTAGATACAGCAGCCAGGACAATGACAAAGTGCATTGGCAAGCCTGTCCTTTTGCCATACAATGTAACAGCAACAGTAATATGATCGTTAGAGAAGAAGAGGCAATAGGTGGGTTGGTTTGAAAAAAAAAAAAAAGCTGACATAAGATTACCCTTCAAGATTACCCTTCAAGAATGGACCTCATGAACATGGGAGCCAGGATGAGGCCTTGAGGTGGAAAGCATTAGAAAAGAGTAGTACATGATAGCAGAGAAACATGAATGTGGCATTAAGGGGAAGGAGAGGCTTCCTCTTAAAAAGGAGTTTCATTAAGAGGGACAGTTTGAGAGGTGGGAGTTGTAGGGAGTTGTAGGGAGAGGTGGGGGAGTGTTGGTTGCGGGGAGGGGTGTGTGTATGGCCTTGTTTCTTCAGGCTATGGGAATCTGGAAGTTTAGAATGATCAGTGTCTTAAAAGGGCAGGCCCATATCCAACAGTGGTGATCCCCTAGAAGATATATGTACAGCCTATTTGCTCTAGAGAGTGACCCATGGCTACCAAAATGGTTGAGCCACTACCAAAGCTAGGACTCTGTACAAAACCAGGGTGGTAAACTGTTGGACCTCAGTTTTGCCCATACTACCTGAATAATTTCCAAGAAATCACTAAAGCCTTTCAGGCCCTCGTTTGTAGAATGGGGATCACAGAGTTTGTCTCAAAGGATCTGCATAGAAATGGAATTAATGATAGTAGTCGAGGTTGAAAATAGTTGGTGCAATCTACTGAATGCTGGTTCCTACTATGACTAACCATTTGTAAACCTCTAAGAGCGAATGAATGGAGCTGGCTGATAATTCACAAGCCAAGAGAAGGAATTTTGAATGTAATGTCTCAGTCAGAACACAGAGTTCATCTTAGAGGTGGTATAGTGAAAAACATAACTTCAGAGTCAGCTTGGTGACAGGGTAGGAGGGGTGGTGTGTGTTTGGAGACTCTTATGGGGCATTAGGACCTCTGCGGAAAGGCTACGACTTTCCTGCTAGATCCAATCTAAGCCCGCTAGTCCTGTCTATCTCAGTCTTGAATTCCACTGGAAAGGTGAGGGTCTGGGTGCACTAGGTCCTTATTATATTACGGCATTCTGGAGAGAGGTTACCTTCATCCAGTCAAGCCAAATGGTTCATGAAGTCCAGGGGACTTCTGAGGACATGGGAGGCAGGAGTCATGAGGTCTTGAGAGGAACACACAGAAAGAGAGAAGAGGTCTCACCTATCAGATTATGTGATGCCTACTGATGTGGCGGGAAACAGAGGGTGCGAGAAGTCACTTGTGGGTTAAGACTTCTGAGGGCGTGGGTTGGGCAGAGCAGGGGGTTGTCAGTCTTGGAGGAGAAGCCCATGCTGCGGGCCTGCACAGGCAAGCAGAGATCAGCAGAAAAGAGCACGTGTTCTGAGGAAGCAAAGGAAAGAGGTTGCCAGTCTGGCCTTCCTCCCAGGGGAAGCCTGGGAGGGGGTCTTGGTGGTTTTCCTAGGTCTGATGTGAAGCTCTGTGCTCTGTGCTCTGTGCTTGAGCATCTGCTGACGTAGTGTGGTTCATGGAACTGACATGGAAGCGGTAAGATTGTGGGCCTTGCCTCTAATATCTTGAGAATTGTGTACAGCCTGCCACATTTCCATTTATGTAAGAGGCTACAGGGGAGACGAGTTTAGCAATTTAAGCTCTAGAAACAATTGCTTGTTTGCTTGTTTTGACTAGGGATTGAACTAATAGCCCCAAGAACACTAAGTAAACACTTTACCATGGGGGCTATATTTCCATTCTCTTCTTAATATTTCCTTTTTATGACACAAGCTCTTCCCAAGCTGCTTAGGCTAGCCTTGACCTTGCCATCCTCCTGCCTCAGCCTTTGGACTGCCTGAGATTATAGGGGTGTGCTGTCATGCCCCACACAATGTTAACACTTCATAAGCATCTTCAGTCATGGAACAGAGGAAGCAAGTCAAGAAAGACAGAAAAAGTGGTGGTGACCCTCAGGCTTGAGCAGGATGGTTCCAGAATACCAGCTCTCATCGTCGAGAATGCCCAACCTGAATGGGGGTGGATGGGAAGGCTTCAGAGCAGTTTTCAGTTAGCTGAGATTGCTGGCATGCTTGCCAACTCGGTCTCAAGACGGGAAGATTTGGGTTTGGTGTATGAGGAAAGAACACTTGTCTGACACAGACTCCACTAACAAACGGCTGCAGCTCTCCTCATTGCCGAGGCTCTCTTCATCTCAAGATGTTCTATGCAATCTTCTTCCTTCTTGTCTTTGAAACCCCTTGCTCTTCCGTACCTCCCAGGGTCCACCAACAGTCCTCCATGGTGTGGAAGGCACCATCTATGCCAAGCTTCCGCTGTCACTCTCTCCCAGCTAAGCTGGTTATCACTGGAGAATGTCTATAACTTCAGGTTGACAACACTGCACTAAGCCCCTATTACTGAGAGGAGGAGAATACAATGGATACAAAGTATGAGGCCCATTCAATAACAACACAGGAGTCAAGCAAAATAGAAAACAAGAAATACTAACTCCAGAAAAATAATATTTTTCACAATATATATGATTAGGTATTTATAATGATCATATTGTAGACATATGACTATTAATCTATATGAAATTGCTCTTTACTTCTGGAAGGTTTGGGGTGGGGAGGCTCCATGTATGTGGTTAGGGTAGGATTGGTACCAGAATACAGACAATACAAGAGGCAGTGGGATACATGTATTACTAAGGGATGTAGAAGTACATTTCCAGTTTCTGCTAAAAAGCCATTACATTATCTGAATGTGGGAGGGGAAGAAAATGTGGTCTATACTCAAAGGAATACACTTAGTTCTGGAAAAGAAGTCTTATTTTCAGCAGCCTAAGTAGAGTGGAGAATATTATGCAATAAATCAAACACATGAAGATAAAATACCACATGTTCTCACATGTGGAATATAAAAGAGTTTTATTCAGGAAAATGGGAGGACAGCTGATGGGAAAACAGTCAGAGGGTCCAAGTCTCAGAAAGGGGGGCTAAGTCTGAACTTTAAAGACAAATGCACAACATGTTGACTATACCTGTTTTAGATACTATACATTTCAATGCCTAAAAACAACATTTTCATGTCCTCAATACAAAAAGTTAAAATGTCTGAGATGTCTAGGTCAAACAGCTTAATTTTATCACCCTGCACTATTTTTATTGTAATTCAAAAATTACAATATGACCTTTAATCCCATAAATATATGTAACTTGTCAACACATAATTAAACAAAAAAGTGGATGCAGGAGTTAGAATGTGCTCGGCGCTACTTTTTACGTGAAAGCAGGACTGGAGAACAGGACTCAGGCCTACAGACCACCAGCAGCTGTTGAATCTAGGTCTTGAGCTGAGAGACCGAACCAGCCAGATTCCTTCAGTCTCAGGAAGCTTGAGTCACACAGGGATCCTGCTGGGACTCACACACTGGCTGAGCAGGTCCAGGGTGGGGCCTGAGACTCTGGGGAGGACAGGTGTGTGGAAGTGAATCAGGAACACTTCAGAGGCCCTAAATTCTTCAGGCTTGCTTCCTGCAGGGTGAGACAGGGTGGGGGCGTCGGTGTCAGGGGTTGAGAGAAGATTTCCCTCAAGCATTTGTTCCCAGCCTGGTGGCTCATCAAGGACCCCAGGGCTTCAAAACAAACTGATGCCTCTATTCTGCCCTGAGAAAAAGCTCTGGGTGCAGCCTGACTATTGAGGAAAGTGTATATGTGATCCTGAAGTCAAGCCGTGCCCAAGACCACCAACGTTGGAAAATTCTTGTTTTTGGCAGGCACAAGAATTCGGTACCAGAAACAAAGAGGTTTGTCCCAAGCACTTGTCTTGGTCTTTGACATTAAAGAGGGTTACCTAAAAACTCTGTAAGAGTGATGCATCATATTTTAGATGAAAGTTAGCACAACACTCAACAATGAATAAAATATAAAAATGTAAAGGGTGGAATTCATAGTAGTTTCATGTGGAGTCCTACTGGAGTGTTTGGATTAAGGGAAATCGGTGATACTGATCTTCTAAGCTGTATACTAGCTTTCTGGTCTCCCAAGCCCGTGGCTAAACCATCCAGTTAAGGACGCCCAGAGATGGGGCCATTTGCTGGGCTTTGTGAGGCTCTTCCCACCCTGCACTGATCCTGACAGCAGTGATGTGCAGGTCTACCCTAGTCTTGGCATTTCAGAGCGGGAACACAGAAATTCTTTAAAGTAAAGCAACCGGACCCATAAATACCTCAGGTATTTACTGAGCTTCAAGTGTCTACAAATACTAACCTGCTCCTCGCTTTGGCCTTGTGGAGTGTTACTTCCTAGTACAGGAGGGAAAACTGAGTTACTGAGCACAATGACTTGCTCACAGCTACACAGTAAGTAAGACATTGCGCAAAATCAAACCCAGTCTGTCGGCCTGCCAAGTCAATGAGCACAATACTTAGACAAAACAAACAAAAACAAAAACAAAAACAAAAAACCGTGTCCCTTATCATACGGAGTACAACAGAAACATTAAAAATACAAAAAACAACACCGGCAACAGAATCAACACATCCGATTCCCGGGACCCTCTGTATTTATTGAATTTGGGTAATAAGAGATTAAGGCTATCAACCGAGACTCAGCATCACCGTATGGTGTACCTGTCCCACTTCTTCTCGGGGTCGTAGGGCTCCCAGCGGCTGGCGGGGAAGATGTGTTTGTTCTTCTCGTACCAGCTGCGCAGCACCACCTTGCCCGCGTGCGACTCATCTTTCTCCATCGTGGCATCGCTCAGCAGCCGCACATCGTCGTGCACGTCGAAGCTGAAGAGCGGCCCGCTCTTGCCCCGCGCCTTGGCCACAATGAAATCGTAGAAGGTGTGGTAGTGTGGCAGAATGAGGTCCTCCTTGACGTACATGAGCTGCTCCACGCCCACTGCGCGCAGCTCCCGGAAGTCCTTGCGCAGCCCCTGCAATGCCCGCTTCAGGAACTGCTGCACGGTGCTGCCCTTGCGCATGCGCACCGTGCGCCGGTGGCCGGAACCATCCCAATAGCTGAAAGTGATCTCCACCTCCTCGCCCTTCACTTTCTCGCGTTTAGCCTCCCACTCCTGCCGCAGCTCCTCACGCAGCCGGTTCTCCTCCTCTTCACGCTCACGGTCGGGCAGGAAGCTGGTATCCACATCGGGGTTCTTGCCCAAGTTCTTCTTGGCCCCACCACTGTGGGCCTCGGTGCCCTCCGCCCAGCGACCATCCTCTTGGTCGCCGTCATCTTCCTCATCTAGAGTGAAGGACAGGTTGGAGATCTTCCGCTTGCGCTCTCGCCGACGCTCCTTCTCGCGCAGCATCTCCAGCTGTAGCCGGCGCTGCTCCAGCTGCTCCCGCTTGGCCAGTTGCATCTCTCGCTCCCTCAGCAGGGCCTCCTGCTTGGCCTTCATGTCATTCAGGGTCACCAGGCCCACCGTGCTGGACTTCAACTCGGCCTCCACGGCATCATAGTGTGCCGAGAACTTCTTGTCCACCTTGGATTTCATAATGGTCTCCTCTGCGATGCGCTGCTTCAGTACCTCCATCTGCTCCTTCTGCTTCTCCCGCTTCTTGATCAGGTGCATGGCCCGGCCGGCCTCCCGCATGGTGCCCTTGTACTGCGCCATGCCTGCAGCCCAGCACAGCGACTATGACCAGCTCAGTCTCTGTCTCTGTTAGCCTTACGCGTCTGACATCAGATTCCACACCTAGGAACAAACAAGCAAAGCAAACGGTTGAGGCCGGCCGGTGGTGGCACATGCCTTAATCCCAGGCAGAGGTAGGCGAATCTCTGTGAGTTCGAGAACAGCCTGGTCTACAAGAGCTACTTCCAGGATAGGCTCCAAAGCTACAAAAAAAACCTGTTTCGGAAAAAAAATAAAAAATAAAAAAAATTAAAAAAAAACAAGGCAAAACAAAACCAAAAACAAATGGTTGAGAATCGAGCCAGCACAGCAGCGTCATTAATGATCTACACCATCATCTTGTGATAGACCTTCCTCTCTGTCGGATGATTCTGTCTCCGAGATGTAGTGATATTTCATTTGTATTTTAATAAATAAAGCTTACCTGAAGATCAGAAAGTGAAATAGCCACACTGGTGAGCCATACAGACCACTGGTGAGCCATACAGACCACGCAGTGTTGACACACACCTTTAATCCCAGTAGCCACAATAGTGCACCATAGAAACTCGGTGGTAGTGGTGCAGGCCTTTAATGCCAGCACTAGAGAAACAGAAGCCGGGATCAGGTAGGAACCTGGTCTCTTTCAAAGTCAAAGGATTTCTTAGAGGTAAGAGCTTTAGTGACTTGGCTGTTCTGCTTTTCTGGTCTTCAGGTTGAACTCCAATATCTGTCTCTATGTTTTTATTATTTGTACTACACTGAGGTGACCCAGTGTGGCAACTACTGGCCATGTAAGGCCCTTGAAACCATGAAATGCAACTGCTGTCACCAAGGAAGCAATTTTACTTCAAGTTGAGATAGCCGTGCGTGACTTCTGTACAGGGTGGATTTGAGGAGCTGCATGTGGAGATTAACCTACAGAGAAACCCCCATACCATATGCTGCCCAGGTGTCTGCTCCAGCATAGCCATGTAAGAACAGGGCACAAGAGAGCCTGTGCCTGGGCTGGTGAGAACTGGCCATGGAAACTATCTTCTGATGAGGAAAGCTGGCCCTGCAGGATGGCACCTGTCTTTGTTGGAAAGCAAGGAAAGGAAAAGAGTTATTGGGAGCTTTCCTACATTCACCTCCCTGGAAAATGGTGATGCTAGATTAATTTCCCATCAATGTTATGGTCATGGCAGGTCCTGATGAGCTTCCATCATTACCACAGTCCTAGGAATGATTTCTGCATGGAGTGCTAGTTGAACTCAATTTGTGTCAGTGCTAAAGTACACAGAAACAAATCAACACTGAAGCCTCCCTCCCTTGATGTGAGAACAAAGACTTCAGAGAAACTGCATGCAACAGAAGCAGGCTAACCACAAAGTACCTTCTCCTCGCTTCAGCAGAAGAGAGACCTCCTAACTTAATGGACTCAACTTGAATTGACTACTTTCTACCAGTACTACTTCTACCTTCCTTACCCTTCTGGAGCTCCGTCATTACTCCATGGACTCTGACACCCACACACCCCATGACAACTGACATCCTCTTATCCAGCTGTTCCCATACCCCAAACTGGTCCCCCATGCCCTCTGGAACACAATGTATCAACAAAGTCACAGGACATCCCCTTTAACCTTCTGGGAGTAGACTGAAGCTCAGGTCTCCTTTGAGGACAGCATTTCTCCACATAGCTCCATGATAATGTCTTGCTTTGACATTCTCCTTCATACTGAAAATCTACATGAGAGACCATTTCCTCACCATCTCAATAGCATCTTTGTTTTCTTTGCTGTTATAAGCCGTTCTGGAGTTTGTGCTGCTCCCTGGCCTGCTGATGTCCCCACTGCTCGAATTCCCTGTCTTGCTAAGTCCTTGGAGATCATTAGTGCATGGCTCAGTTGCTGCCTTCTCCCATCCTAGCCCATTGCTATCCTGGATGTCATCGGCAGGGACCACCCACCACCTTCATCTCACTTCTAACAACCTCTTCCCTTGTCCACTCATTTTCCTGTCCACATGGTGATACCTTAGCTCTTATCACAACCAACAGATTCATCTTCAGTTCCCTACATCATTCCTTTGCATTCATATTCTCTGGCTCTCTGGATTCCAACTGTCCTCTGTTAGCCCAGACCTCCACATCCAAAGGCTCTCTGCACCCACCCATTATTGTCACACCCTCCTATACTTCTGTGTTTCCTACCCATCAAGGACCAAACGTCTTCCTAACCCTTCACACCTCTTGCCTGATGAAATTTCGTCTAAGAAATCCTAATTCTGGCCAGGCGGTGGTGGTGCACACCATTAATCCCAGCACTTGGGAGGCAGAGACGGGTGGATCTCGGTGAGTTCAAGGCAGCCTGGTCTACAGAGGAAGTTCCAAGACAGCCAGGGTTAAACAGAAAAACCCTGTTTTGAAAAACCAAAACCAAAAAAAAAAAAAAGAAAAGAAAAGAAAAAGAAAAGAAAGAAAGAAAAAAGAAACCCTAATTCTGGTTAAACCTGGAGTATCTATCAGCCCTTACATCCAAGTAGTTGATTGACCAAGACAAAAAACAAACTGCCGGCCAGCCTTACTTTAAATTCATGACTATAGGCCTCTATGAGGACTCAACACCATCTAGAAATTCTGCCACACTGCCCCAATGTGTCTGCTGTCCCATTCTCCAAGACAGAGATCTCATTACTCCTTCTCCATCTCCACGTAACCCCTGATATGGCCCAGTGGCTGGGGATCCTTCATTGCCACACCTCTTAGTTCTCATAGCTGTTGTTTGATACCAGAATCCTAACTTCTCACAATGTCACAACATGTAGATTAGATTGCTCTTTGCTGTGGGAGCTCCTTCAACTCCTTCAGCCAATAACCTTTAAGATACCAGCCCACTTGGGCATGGTCTCTTAAACTATAAAAGCAGCTGTAAAACATGCACTCGCTCTCTTGCTTCCAGCTCTTGCTTCCATCTGCTAGACTCTGGTCCCCGTTAGGACAGTGATCTATGAGGCTTCCCTAAATAAATAACTGTTTACTATACGCAATTCTGAACTAGTGTGGGATTATTTTGTATCTTCCGCCACCAGCACTTGCTTTGTTAGATCACTTTAACACAGTACTTTCTCTAAATATATTATCTGGGAAAGAGGTTTCTAAGATCAAGTTAACTGTAGGAAACTGGTCTTGAGGCTTTACTATAGCAAGCCTCTAATCAGCTTGCCTCCAGGAAGCAAGGTCAGGGCAACATGTGTGAAAAACAGAGGGAGGCAAAGCACCATCCTGTCTCTAACGTGCTGCATCTTTGGTTTCAATATCATGTGTCATCAAAACACAGCTTGTAAGTTTCACCCGACAGGATACCAAGACACAACAGAAAACAAGGGAAGAGTTTTGATACCTGTTTGCATCAGGCTATGTAGATGGAAGTTTCTGTCCTGCTTAGTCCCACAGCTGTTTAGTTCCAAAGAAACACACAGAGGCTTCTATTAATTTTAAACTGTTTGGCTTATTTGCTCAGGTTTATTATTAACTAGCTCTTACAAATTAAATTAACTCATATTTTTTGTCGATGTTTAGCCACATGGCTTGGTACCTTTTCTCAGTGAGGCATTTTCATCTTGCTTCCTCTGCATCTGAATGGTGACTATGTCTCTGCCTTTCATCTTTCCAGAATTCTCTTAGTCTGGCTGCCCTGCCTATAGTTCCTGCTTGACTACTGGCCAATCAGTGTTTTATTAAACTAATATGAGTGACAAATCTTTACAGTGTATAAGAGTATTATCCCACAGCAAGGATATGTGTAATTGAAACCAGGAAACCAGAAATTTACCATCCCTTGAAGTTCTGCACCTGCTGACCTCTGCCTGCTCCCATTCAATAACACCCCTGCCCCCACTCTGGTGGGGGACAATTCTATATTCTGTCAATTACATTTTAAATAAATGCTAATTGGCCATAGCCAGGCAGGAAGTATAGGTGGGACAACCTGACAGGAAGCAGAAGTATGGCAATGAGAACAGGAGTATTCTGGGAAGAAGGAAGCTCTTCCCGCAGTCCTGTCTCAACCACCTAAGAAGCAAGATGTGACCCGCCCCGCTAAAAAAGGTACCAACCCATGTGGCTAACATAGATAAGAATAATGGGCTATATAAGTCATAAGAGTTAACAAGAAGCCTGAGCTCATGGGCCCATCAGTTTATAACCTATGTAGACCTGTGTGTGATTTTCTTTGGGATTTAATGACTGCAGGAACTGGGCAAGATAGAAACCCCATCAAGCAAGCTCCCATAGGCCCGCATGTTACACCACCTTGCCATTGGAACCAAGGTCAAGTCAAGGTTGAGTAGTAAGGCCCCTTTGGGCATTGCTTCATGTCCAAATCATAGTTTTCTTAAAAAAGTAAATGTTTTAAACAGGCCAGGGGTGGCCTCGTTAAGTATTTACTTGAAGCAGAGAGGAGTGACTGTGTTATTAAGAAAAAAGTAGACACTGCCTGTCATTCAGCATCTTCCTCCAACACTGTCTACCCTTTCCAGCTTTTTCCATGACAAGTTTAAACTGCTCCAAGTCAGTGGAAGGATGAGCTCACTCTCTCTCTCTGCCCCCAGGCAGTCCTAGAATGTGCCTGTGAAGCAACTTGGCCTTTTGCCAGCCCCTTCCTCTTGTTTTTGATATTGTCACTGATGAGGATTATTGGTGACCTAACACCACCATGGTCTTTCTTTGCCAAACTGAAAGCAGTTTCAGTCCTGGGCAGGGGACAACATAAGAATAAATGATTGCCTACAAACTTGTATCTTTTCTCACCTTGGAGCAGAGGCAGCTGCTTTCTTGGGTCTTTGTCCTTGGCTCAGTGAAGGCCACACTTCATGTAGTTAATGCTAAGACCCAGTAGAGCATTCTGAGTGTCAGAGGAGTTGATACACCTAAGAACTGCAGGGGTGGATGAGGGAAATCCTGTTTCTGGGGCTACTCTGCAGGATCATAATGAGATGGGAGATCACCCTGAAATACCAAGGTCTTGGTTTGAAGTATGTGGGGAATGATAACCCAGCCCACTCAGGAAATTAAATTTCAAGATATTAAGGTGCTTTAGAAC